ATGCAAACTCCAAGAGGATTGAGAGACCAATCCTACAGAAGGGAGATAAGGTTTATCTACTTCGAAAAAACATTAAAATAATAAGATCTAGCGATAAACTCGATTATAAGAAGTTAGAATTATTCAAAATCTTATAATAGATCTTTCCAGTTAATTACGAATTAGCATTATCTCATGAGATGAGGATATACCCGGTTTTTCATATCTTACTGCTAGAACTAGCAGCACAGGAAATACTAACAAACAATACAGCAGAAGTGGAAAACAATGAACTAGAATATGAGATAGAGAAGATTCTCAAGTACAGAGGCATAGACAACACGAGGGAATACCTCATCAAATGGAAAGGCTATCCAGCGAGCGAAAACTCATAGGAACTGCAGAAAAACATTAAAAATGCTCAGGAAAAGATAGCTGAATATTGGAAAAAGAGAGGAATCAGCACCTAGGACGATTGCTCCGCCCTAGACTGAGACTCGGAACGAGCCTTTTAAGCATCAGAAGAACCTTCATTACCTTCAATACTATCTATATCACCTAAAAAGGAATAGTTCAACATACTACCAGGAGACCAGAAGAGCTCTTTCGAAACTAAAGCAGAAAATCTCTTAGGAAGCGGACCAACAGGAACACGGGCCTGCTGCTCCCTCGCTAGCTTCTTCGCTTTCATACAGTTAAGCTTTTCAATCATATCCAGATTACAATGAACAGCGCGCGCCATTTTCTCAGCTTACAGCTTGCGCTGTTTCCGCAGCTGGCGTACCTTGGCTGTAGCACGCTCTAGCTCCTCCTCTGCATCGTTAAGAGCGGCTTCAGCAGCGGAATGCTGAGCTACAATCTTCTCTATCTGTGATGGCGACAATCTGTGCATATTACAGTTCCTATGCTTGTGCTTAATGCATTCCGTATAGCATAACGAATCTTCCTTGGAAGTAAGGCAGCGAGCTTTGCGATTGCTATAGAAGGAATACGTTAGCATTTCAATATAATGAGAAAGGGTGATAAGCTAGAGGGAGGTAGACTGTTCCGTCTTTTTGTAGCGAGTTTTATCGATTCTGCTCATTGTTCGGATTAGGAAGGTAAGATTATGTATAGGAGGTTTGTTAGAATACTTACAGAAGATTGTTGAGGATAACGATTGATAGGAGAGAGATGATATTATGATTCATCCGATATGTAGGTTACGGAACAAGCTCTACCAACAAGGAACTAGGTATTACAACTTAATATCAGGTAAACAATACAAGGATTACGTAATCTAGGGTTAGGGTTATAGGTTACAACCAATCAGAAAGAGATCGGAGCAGTCGACGATCGGTTCTTACGGTTCAGGCAGTGAACTGTAACAATCAACCACCAATTCTTACAGTCTATACTGAAGAGCTGAATATATAAGAATACATTCATTACCATTAGACAGATCCAGTATATAGCTCTTCAGTTGTTAATCTAAGTATTCAGTTTTATATACTGAGTAGCTCCAAAGGCAGTGAATACTTGCATTGCTTATTAGAACTTGTATGATTCCGTATTCAAGAACTTAATACTTTGATACTGCTCTTGTTAGCATAAATCTCTTTGTATATTTAGGAATCTTCGGATTGCTGCAGTGCTCATTATACAGCTATTGCATTGTTATAGAATGTTTTCAATTCTTTTCCTAAAGCTTAATAGATTTCAGTATTTTTTAATACATTTGTAAGTTGCTCTGATTCTCTGATATTCGTATGCTAGTATACTGTATACATTCTTGATATAGTTATTTTGTTTATCTGAATATAATGAGCATTGCAGTAATCCGAAGATTCCTAAGTATACGGAGGGGTTTATGCTAACAAGAGCGGTATCAAAGTATCAAGTTCTTGAATACGGAACCGTACAAGTCCTAATAAGCGATGCAAGTGTTCACTGCTTTTGGAGCTATTCAGTGTATGAGACTGAATACTTAGATTGACAACTGAAGAACTTCTCGAAGGAAATCTATCTAACAGTAGGAAATGTAAACCTTCATATACTCGGTTCTTCAGTTCGAATAAATAGGATCGATATTAACCCCATCGATTCCCTCATCGACGGGATAGACGTTAACTGTATCTATCCGCTAATAATCCTAACTCTGAGTTATGTAATCAATGCTTTGTTAGAATGTTGAATCCTTGATATCTGGTTTCTGTTATTCGTAATCTGTTCTATAATCTGCATGTTGGATAGATTATAACATCATTTCCCTTCTATTAGTTATTATTTCCAATAATCTTTCGTAAGTATCCTAGCAAATCTTTCATTTGTAATCTTGCCTTCCTAATCAAGATGTTGAATAGAGTCAGTTCTTGTTATATTGCTAAGCCTTATTCTCATTCTTTGCAGAAATCATTCCTTCTTTCTGCTATAGCTACCTTCGATTCTCTTTCGCTCATGCTTTGCTCATACTGCGAAGATTATAATCTTTCGGCTGAGTGCAAGATTGCTGAATCCGAATCTTTCCGTTGTTAAATCTGCATACATCTGAGTTTATCGAATTGCGATGTTCGTAGCCTGATGCCTGTACAATTGAATCGTATAATTGCTCAATACCATTATCTGGAAGCAGAAGTGGAGATGATTGAAGAGGAGGCTGCTGAGCTGAATACTAAACTTCTTAGGCTGCATAAGCAGAAAAGGATGTAGTACGAAAAGATGATATGCGCTGTTTATTGGGGTATTGATAATGTGGAGGAGTTGGAAAGGGTGAAAGCGGAGAAGCAGGCTCGCGTCGCTGCCGGGGTTCGTTCTGTAGTTGCAGAGGAATCTGCTGTGATTGCTGGAGATTCTTTTTTTAAGAGTTTTAACTGGAATTCTGTGAATGTAGGGAATGCAGTGGTAGATTGGTTGGATTTCCTGGAGAATGAGACTTCTGAGGGCTCTGAATCTCAGTTCGGAGCGGAGTGATTATCTTAGATACTGGTTTCCTTTCTTTTCCAATACTCAGCTACTCTTTCTTGAGCGTTCTCGACGTTCTTCCATGGTTTCTATGAGTTTTCGCTCGCTGAATAGCCTTTCCATTTGATAAGATATTCTCTCATGCTATTTGTGCTTCTATGCTTGAGAATCTTTTCTATCTTATACTCTGGTTCGTTATTTTCTACTTCTGCTATATTATCTGCTAGTATTTCCTGTACTGCTGATTCTAGCAGTAAGATATGAAAAACTGAGTATATTCTTATTTTATAAGATAATACTAACTTATAATTAATCGGAGAAATCTGTTGCAAGATTTTGAATAGTTCTAACTTCTTATGATTAAGCTTATTACTAGATCTAGTTATTTTAATATTTTTTCGAAGTAGATAAATCTTATCTCCCTTCTATAGAATTGGTTCCTTAATCCTATCCTAAAGTCAAAGTGTCCTCAAGGTAGAGGACAGTTTTTTTGAGTGAGAAATTTTTTGGCGCTAGCAAAAACAGGGGTAAGAGGATCGTTTTTTTCTTCTGTAAACTGTCCTCAACTCAAATTTTAAGCTTTCTGTCTCATTTCAATTTGAAGTCTGATCGCTTTCCTTAAAACTCTATCCTAAAATCAAAGTATCCTCAAGATAAAGGACAGTTTTTTTGGGTGGGAGAATTTTCGGCGCTAGCAAATGCAGAGAGTAGCAGATCGTTTTCTTTTCTGCAAACTGTCCTTAACTCAAATTTTAAGCTTTCTGTTTCATTTCAATTTGAAGTCTGATCGCTTTCCTTAAAACTCTATCATTTCTGAATTTCAAGTTCTTATCATCTCTCTTTTTATTTCAATTGCAGAATTTGCATTTCTAAGATAAAGATTGAGAAGGTTAGATTTGCATTTCTATCTGTATTGAAAACAACTAATTATCTAGCATTATTTTTAGAGCTTATTCCAATCTGCATTTCTAATCTGCTATTCTAATCAGAACTTAGCTATAGCTGATTCTATCTATTCTTTGTTTTTCTATTCTCTATTGCATATTGTAATATGCAGAGAATGCTAGTTTGGTATTATAGCTGATGAGATAGCAGCGTATCTAGCTTCAGTATGCTATAGAATGCTTAGGAAAGAGTGATAAGCTATTGCAAGCTGTATTCAGAGCTTGCTTAGCATTTATTGTATTCAACAAGATCTGCAGCATTTCCAGTTTCCTAATTCAGCAAGCATCGCTATTCTGCTACTTAGCAATATTCAGACCAATAGCCTTGCTTATTGAGAATGCTCTTTCATTATCAGGCAAGCTCATAAGATGCAAAACTATTACTGCTTCTTATATAGATGAGTAAATCCCTGTACAGATAGCTGCTTGTCTGCTCAGGAGATAGCCTTTTCCGTTCCATAGCAAATGCAGGTATGCTGCCAAAGGCTCTTTCCAAGCTAGCAGGCTAGCAGATGGTTCGAGATTCAACGCCAGAGCAGGCCTGAGAATAGCTAACCCAGCATTCCAGAGAATCCGAGATAGCTGATTATAGCATTCTTCCGCTAGGTATAGCAGCAGCTGGCCAACTCAACAAACCGGATTATTCAGGAAGGAAACAACCAGCTGGAGCTCAACCTCTGGCTCCGAAGAGTAGGCTGAGCAACTTATCTGCAGAAGCTAGATCTGATCAGAACTAAGGAGCTGGTCTCGCTGATCCGGGATAACGAGCTGACTCTGCAGACCCTCTAGCAGAGCTTTTAGCGCAATGCTCAGCAAGCCTGCTATACTGCAGTTGCATCTGTTATTAGCTATTCTGTTCTCTTCGAGATTAATCGGAAGAATAAGTATATTAAACCTAAATAGCTATTTGATAGCTAACTCAAGAGCAGTTCATAGCAGCAATATATGGAGGTCTAGCGCTGCATTCTAAGCTATATTATATAGATACAAGCTCTCAGCTCTAATCAGAAACCTCTCTATTGCTTTATTACCAAACAGAGCACTCTTTATACCCGTCTCCTGCATTAGCTTGAAAATACAGCTGGGATTCCTTCTGCTACAGCTGCAGTATGCTAGAATAAAGCATACCTGAACTTTGTAATTCAGCTTCTCGATTATTCTTTTCCAGATGCTGAATATAAGAGTGCTCTTCTTAGCGCTCTTGCTATTCTCGATATCCAAGCAGATAATGAATGGAAAATATTGCTTAATTATACTTTTGTTTACTCTGCTATTATTAAGCTGGCTTGCATACTTATAGTTCTTCAGGCTTATTTTGAGCGGGAGGAGGAGGTGAACGAGAAGCTGGCTGTGCTATCTCAGAGGATCTTGCGGAAAGAAGCACTGAAGCATTGCTGCAAGCTCTTTGAATTTCTGCAGCTAAGGGTCTTCCGATTTATAACAATCACTAGCTCCGAGATCAAGCCTACTTCTCTTAACTGGATCTTCGAAGCTAGATCCTATAGCTTCAAGATCTGCTATACTACTGCTGTTTAGAGCAGAATAAACTAGCAAGGGAATCTTATTTCCTATTATAACATCCAGCTGCATACTAATCAGATCTCCGATATGATTTACAATCTTCTCAGCCTAGCACAGCAGAGCTTTGCTGAGATGCTCGAATTGCTAGATCTGGAAGCTTTGCTCCAGATTAACTAGCTTTTGCTTCAGGATGATTATCATAAAGACTAGATTAGCTATTCCTTTCTTACTGATCGCTGCAACTAATGGCTTGTAGATAGCTAGCAGTGGCTTCTGGAGTATATCCTGAGCAGTACAGAGCTGTATGCTACATAGTTTGATAAGTATAGCTAACAGCTCCAGGCTTCTGCTATTAGCCAGTTCCGCTTCCGAGCGGAGAGGTTTCGTAAGCAGATCCTCCTTCTTCTGCATTTCTCTGAAAGCTAGCCAGCTCGCACTACTGAGATCCTCAAGCTTCGATCAGAGAACTCAGTATACAGAAGCCTCCGAAATATCTTTCTTTATAATAAGCTGATCTGTTTTGTTATTTTTTACTATAAGAGCTATCAAGCATCTGATTAGCTTAAGATCATCTACTGATATCTGCTGTACAAGATAGGCGCTCTTCTTATCTGATATCTCTAGCTAGCTCTCCCCTTCTAGCAGCAGATCGAAGAGCTTCTTGGAGCTGGCTAAGCAAGAAGCCTTCTGCTCTAAGCTGATCAGATCCTCCTACTAGCAAACTCAGAAGAAGAGAGGAAATACAGCTTCTCAGCCCCTAGCTCCTAGCTATAGCTTGCAGATCGGATAAGACGCCTTCTTCAGCAGTACAGCCTGCAGCTGACAGATACAAAGCTTATGATCAGTGCTTGGCAGCATATTGCGATTGCTATTGCTTATTAATATCTTGGGAAAAGCTATCAAAGCAATATATAAAGCTAGCTTGAGAGCAGCGGAGATGATCTGACTAGTAATGATGAAGAAGCTAACAATATTCTCGATCTGCAAGCTGAGCATAGCATAGCTGTAGCGTATATAGTATATAGAAGAGAGCTGCAGCTGAGCCTGTTTGAGACAGCTATTCGGAGAAACCAGTTTTGAAGAGCTAGCATTCAGTGGCATCGCTTTCTTGGGTTTCAAAGCTATTCCGCCTCTACAGTGCTCTCCAAGCGAAAGAAAGAGGTTTTTGAGAAGGAATAAGAGCAGAGCTGGCTGTAGCGCTTTTGTTAGCTATACAAAACTAATCTTCTTAGCCAATTATAATAGATAATCAGAGCAGAGGCTCAGTTTCGAGGCAACTAGGAGCCTGTTCTCCGTGCAATTGCTTGAGGAGAGATTCCTATTCTGCAGATTGCTGATATAAGCAGTGGAAAAGCTCTTTTCTTTTTATTTCCAGCATACTGTTTATCTCAGAGCATAATAATTGTTATTACTCTGCTTATTGCTCTTCAGAAAGATTTATTTCAGAGATACTAAACTTATTAGATTAATATATCTATATAGATCTCATTCAAGCTTAACTATACTGCTGCTATTATCTTTATTTCATCTGAATCTGCTATCTCTAAGCAGTTCTCCAGCTTTATTAATTGCTTGCATGCTCGAGAGTAGCTTAACTGTATTATAATAGATAAGTGCTATATTGCTCTTAATGCAAATAATATTTTTCAATCAAAACTTCAAGAGCTTGGATCTGCTATTGCAGCATTTAGTATACAGCGGATCTTCCTTATAGCTATACTACTGCCAAAGGATGAAGCATCTCTCTTTCAGGCTCTATGCATCTCTGAATCATTAGTTTTTCGAATATCTACTATTTGCAAGAATATTCACTATATCATTCAACAGATCTCTTTTAATCAGAAAGAAGCTTCTGTCTGCAGAAAGATAGAGAAAACCCTTGCTAAGATAAAGAAGGGAAGGGTAATTATCTATAGCAGTACAGTTCGCCAGATAGAGAGCCTTAGATCTGCTCTAGAATGTAAGATTTATTACAGCAGAGTTGCTAATGCCTCAAGCAAAACTGCAATCCTGTAGCAATGAATTAATAATTACAATTGTATAATTGTTGCAATTAGTGCATTAAAGATGAATCTGAATATCTCTGATATACATATAGTTATTTATATAGAGCTTTCAAGAAATATGCGAGATTATGCTTAAGAAAGCAAGCAAGCAGACTGAGATAGCAAGTTCTCTTAAGCAACTCTTTTCTGGAATGAATATCCGCTTTGGAATGCTAGCTCTGAGATAAGCTAATATCTGTGTATAAAGAGATGTTAATATATCCTTCTTAACTAGATTCTTAATAAGCAGTTCGATCGAATGCAATGTATGCTAGATAAGGTTTCCTATAATTACTGCAAGCTAGCTAGCTAGGAGCATAAGCTGGATTCTGATCAGGAGCTTAGCAGCAAGCATTTTGAACAGATGAAGCGAAGAAGCAGCTGAGTACAGAGAAAAGTTCTCAAGAACTATTAAGAGAGAAGCGAGATGATTATAGCATTAGTTCAGCAGCTTGAGGCATGGGCTAGCATCTGTATTCTTTGCAAAGGCTGAGAAAGAGAGCTTAGCTTGCTAGCTCAGCATATTAGGGCGAGCTGCTCATTCAGGCATAATCTAGTTTAGCACGAGATCGAGAGCAGGCAAGCTCAGCTGCAGAAAGGGATCTTTGTACAAAAGCATCTGGCAGCATATGCTAAATGCTTCAAATGTGGTATATCTCAGGCATACTGCGCTTCTTGGGATAAGCTAGCATCTGATTAGAGGTTCTTCTTACAGAAGCTAAGCAATATCTGCTAGTATCCAAAGCTTCTTATATTAGTTATAGGAGAGCTCTGAGCTCTTAGCTTCAGAATGAAAGCGCTGATTTATAATCTTATAAGGAAAGATCAAGAAGAGCTTTTTAAGGAAAGCTTCTTATATAAGTAAATGAATCAGTGCTGCAAGTAGTATAATATAGAAATGAATAATTTGTGCTGGGTTTTTCTCAAGATAATAAAAGCTGTAGATTAGCAGATAAGAGGAGAGTAGAAATTAGTTAATAAACTAGTGATCAGAGCTTAGCACATAAAGATAGCGATTTCTGTTTGCTATAAATATAAATCAAGAAGCTAAAAGCTTAAAAAAACTAGCGCAATACCTATATCTGCTATCTCCAGTCTTCTCTGATTATCACTCTCATACTCCTATTCTCTTACTTGCTTTACGCCTCTCTATTCTCAGCACTCTTATATTCTGCTCTGAACTCTATTCTGATCTCTGAGAAAGCCTGTTTAGCACAGCTTGCCAGCCTTCGAAACTAGCTTTATAAGCTAGCATTAGCTATTGAAATGAAGTTGTTGCTAGTATAGAGAAGAGAAAGCATATGCCTTGCCTTCCTGCTAAGCCCTATAAAAACTAGCTAGCTATTAAGATATTGCTTCCTATACTAAGAGATCTTAATAGCAGCTCCTCCTGAATACTCATCTGCAATATAGATTTCGAAATAGCTTATTAAACAACATTCTTGCTATTAAAAGATTGCAGCTAACTACTTTGCAGCAGATTAGCTACTGCATCAATGCAGAGATATATCTGTATAAGCAATTCTGATTCTGATTCTAACCGTAATTTCAATTGCAAGAAGAAAACTAACTTCTAGTACTCTGCAATACCGAAGAAGAAGCTCTAATCAGAGCTAGGAGAAGCAGAGATAACAATAGCAGTATTGCTCCAGCTTGCAATCTTAATCCATATTGTACTCTGTATAAAGCTAAGCTCCTGTAGCCTGCTGGAAGATGAAGAAGGGGGAGCTGCTTTAGGGATTAGCGAAAGAGAATGGGGAACTTAGCTCTCTGCTCTTGTAGAAGAGGCTAGCAGAGGCGGAAGCAAGCGCTGCATCCAGCCTATCTTGCTGGGAGCGAACTCAATAGTCTTTGTATTCTCTCGGAGCTGTATATTCGCAGGATGAATCCAAGCCTCTCTAGCTCTATCTAAGATCTGTATGCTCTCAAAGCTCTTAATATTCCTTTCTGCTTTTTACTAATCTAGGCTTCTCCTGAGGAACTCAGCTTGTTATAAAACCCCATTTGCCCTGCTCAGCTCTAATCAAATAGCAACAAGAAAAGCTTTCTTAATATGTTGCTGAGGCAAGATATCAGTATTAGCATTTTGAAATAATGCTGAGTTCCGCCAGTTTGTAAACTAGCTATTATTCTGCTGCTTATCAGGCTTCTGGAAGAAAAAGCACAGATTGTTAGCTATATGCAAGCTATAGCTTTATCCATTCTTCTGCATACAGATCTGCATATGCTGATAAGCTAGAGTCTTGTTTGCTAGCTGCTGCTTCATAATAGTCAGATGCTGCTCTATTATCTGAATAATTCTCTTTCGTATAGTAGGATTCTTATAATAGTAGGAGTTAAGCATTTGAATAGTATATTAATAGTAGTTATAGATTGCAACAAATCAGTAGTTATTGCGAAGATAGAGGAAGACTGCTTAGCATATTCTTGATTCGTATTTCCTTCGGAAGTGAGAAACCTTTTAGCTTGCAAAGTTGAAGAACCAATTTATTATTCACACCTGCGAGATCAGGTTTATTAGCTGCTATCTGATCAGGCTTATCAGCGCTGAGTTTGTAAGCTGCTTGCGCTGCAGGATAAAACTCTCAATATTGTATAGTATTAAAGCTATATAAATCCAGTGGATTCTATCAAGCTTTCCAGTTTTCAGATTCGAGCTTTTCTAATCAGAGTTGCGCAGTATAGGGTGAAAGTGAATATCAGGAAAGTAGTGCTTAAAGAGCTTGATTGCTCTTGCTTCTGGTGAATAGGCTAGCTTAGCATTGAAGTAGTTAGAGCGGTTAGCTAGCAGGGCATTCTTAATAGGTAAGTGATTAATGTTCACAGAGTTCATAATTATTCAGCTGAGGTCTGCTGTAGTCTTCTGATATCATCAGGAAAGAGCTTTAAAAGCGGATGGGGCAGGTGTCTGCAGAACTGATCGGGCTTCTTCTGCTAGCGTAGTATAGCGCTGTTCGCCTTGCTTATCAATATTCTTTATGATATTATTAGCTGCAGCTTGAAAGGAGTTAGTTTGCTGAGGAGGAATTGAGGCAAAGCGAGAGGAGCTAGCAGGATGGGCCTGCATCTGCTTACTGCCTAAGAGCAGTTGGGCTTGTGCTTCTTCGAGAAAGGGAACTGGAAAGTTAGTGC